ACAGAAGATTAATGAAAAAAAAAAAAACAAAGAAAGAAAGATTATTATCGATATTAAAACGATGTATTACCTAACCGTGTCCTCGACACATCTGAACTGTTCGATTGAAGATTGAATGATAAAAATCAATTTAAAAAAAAAAAATAAAATAAAATTAAAATTATTATTATTATTATTAAATCCATTAATATAGAGGGCGCGCGCGATTTTCGCATGTCAGAATCGCTGCGACTATTTTTCTATTGACAGCTAACCAAAACAGATAATAATGGCAAATATAATAAAAATGTGAATTATAAAAAATAATTTTTTTAAAAGTAATTTAGTTGCTACGTTAAATATCAATAAATTCCATGTAAAATTAATCTGTAAAACAGCAATAAAGGTGTGATAGTAAAAAAAATACAGAGAACGTATATTTACGCCTTTTGAGTATATTGATGGATTTGTGAGAGCGTATTTATACGACTTTCGAGTATATTGATGGATTTGTCAGAGCGTATTTATACGACTTTCGAGTATATTGATGGATTTGTCAGAGCGTATTTATACGACTTTCGAGTATATTGATGGATTTGTGAGAGCGTATATATATGCCTTTAGCAGTCAAAGGGTTAAACATTGATCATTGTTCTCTAGCAGGATTTTCCTTATATAAAAAAAAAAATAATTAATTATATATATACATATATATATATATATATATATAAAAGAAACTGAAAGAAATAATTCTGTTTCTTTTTTTTATTTCCTGAATAAATTGAATATTGTTAATAGGTTTCTTGTTATTCCCTTCCTCCTTCGTTGTTTTTTCTTCTATAAAATATACGAATCGATGGAAAAAAGTTAATCTCTTTAGAATGATATCCATAGGTGATTGTGAGATCTAACTATAATTACTCATACGTCATACGTTCTCCTATTTAATAGATTGTTAGAAGATATCGCACGTGCATTAATGTTGTTGTTGCATTGTCATGAAAATGTTGTTTTCTAATAGATATATTATAGAAGAATATTGATCAAAATTTTATTAACTATTTAAGACACAATCAGTTGTTTGTAAGTGATAATAATTAATATATAATTTATATATCAATATATATATATATATATATTTATATGTCAATATATTAAAATTGTTTTATTAATATATCAGTATTATAAATATATTATATATATTAATATGCCAATATATAATAATTGTTATATTAATATAGCAATATTATAAATATAATATATATATTAATATGCCAATATATTAAGATTGTTTTATTAATATACCGATATTATATAATTATTGTTATATTAATATGCCAATATATTAAGATTGTTTTATTAATATACCAATATTATATAATTATTATTATATTAATATATCAAGATATTAAAATTGTTATATTAATATACCAATATTATAAATATATTATATATATTAACATATAAATATATAAAAATTGTTATATTAAAATATGAAAATACCATAAATATATTATATATATAAATATGTCAATATATTAAAATTGATTATATGTATATAAAAAAATTATGTATCATAATCTTCAAATATTAAATAGAATATCTTCTATTAAAACTTCATGCAACTGGTTTAAAAAAAAAACAAAAACAAAAAAAAACAAAAAAAAAACAAAAAAAAAACAAAAAGATAAGTTCATCACTTTAAAAACGTTTACAGATAAAAATCCTATAATACTACTTTTGAATGTTGCATAGGGAATAAATATCTGAAATTGTTGTTTTCTCTCGCATGGGAAATCAGATTCACGAGTTTGTACGTATTGAATAAATGTAATTTTCATTAGAAGACTCGTTCATTGAAACCGTAACCTCAACGTGCTCCGTTTACTATGTACGATGATTAACCAAAGGGAGAAAAAAAAAAAAGAAATAGAAACCAAAGAAGAAAATCGCTATTTGTGTATCTACGTGCGAGGAAAGTTCAAGAAGAGGAATGAACGCTTACTTAGAGAGAAGAGATAGATACACGTGACCCGTAAAATATTGACTCGCGATATATAAAGCTAGGAAGCGTGAATCAAATACAAAAAAGATTCACGAAGAAGACCTGCTTGTATAAGGGATTGAGATGTAGATACCTGTCTACGTGAAATAGCAAAGGGATATACCTTGTCGCGAATTAATTAACCTTTTCTTCGTATTTTTCTATTTGTTTGTGTTTTTTTTTTATAATATTATAGGGTCCCTTTTTTTTTTTATTAGTATTTTAATATTTTTTTTTTTTAAATATAATTAATTATTATATTTTACTAAATATTTAACAAATTATTTTGTATTAATTTATTTATTTTGTCTTTTTTTTTTAATTTTATTATTTTATTATTTAATTAATTTTATTTGTATTTATTTTTTATTATTTAATTTATTTTACTTATATTTATTTTATTAATTAATATATTTTTAACTACAAAGTAATTATAATTATTTTACGAAATTAAATATTTTATTAATTATTTAATAAAATATTTATTTTATTATTTAATATATTTTTAACTAAAAAAAAAAAATAGTTAATTATTTTACCAAATTAAATATTAATTAATTATATATATATAACTAATATTTATTTTATTATTAAATATATTTTTAACTACAAATTAGTTAATTATTTGACCCAATAATTAATAGAATTAATAAATTATAAATTATTAAAAAATAGAATTAATAAAAAATAGAATTAATCATTGTATGATTAATATTTATAATATAATATAATATTTTGTTAAAACCATTCGTTTTTATTTATTTTTTTATTTTTTTAGTACCACTTCCAATATATTAATTGTTATTTAATGAACTTGTTTTAACTTTATCTTCAATTACATTTTTTTTCACATTTAATAACAAAAATCATCTCTATTAATTTTGTTTCTTTTTTCCCCGTATTATTTCCAATAATTGAACATTTTCTTCGTATTATATTGCATTATTTTTAATTTATTATAAATAAATCTCTTTGTCTGTTTCTTATTCATTTTCGATTACTATTATTGATATAATGGGTATCACTAATCGTTCTTCTTCAACACCATTTATCTCATTCGAATTTTCATGAGTTTCAAATGTTTTATATAAATATTTTATTATTATTCTCCTCTCCTCCTCCCACCCCCCCACCCACTCCTTGAACATTCCTGATGTGTGTTATTACGTTTGAAATCAAATCGACATGCGACATTGACGGATAAAAAATAAAGGATATTATAAAAAAAAAAAAATACAAGAAAAAGAAGAAGAGAAGCATACTACGTAAACATTATGCAACACACACATATCTCATATTTCCCGAACGAAATTGTATCGTTACGAATCAGTGCTGCTATTAAATATATATATATATATATATATATATATAATATAATACATAAGATTTATAAATCGGTTATAGAGTAATACTATTTTCTATGTGTTTTAATAAATTATTTTTTGTTTCATAGGACTTGTATTCAAACAACATTTGATTAATACGAATTTAAGTAAAAAAAAAAAAAAACAAATTAAATAATTTAATAAATAATTTTGATATCATGAAACATTTGAACATTAGTATTTTCTATTAGTTGTAAATATAAGCATTAGATCTGTTGTATTAGTCTACGAGCCTAAGCACAACCACGATCGAAAGTTTCGTAAGACTCGTAGCAACTCTTTTTTTTTTTTTTCCTTTTTTTTTTCACATAAAGACTTACTCTCACTCTAATCATTACACGTATATAATCCTCTCTCTCTCTCTCTCTCTCTTTCTCATTCTCATTCAATGTTGATTTCTTTCTATTTTTCTCGAGTTTACTACGATTCAAGAGAGAGAGAGAGAGAGAGAGATCTACTACTACTACTATATCACACGTACAAATAGCTAATCGTAGAAAGCAAACGTATTTTGTAGTATGTTATTTGTAGCTTTTTTGTTTGTTTTTGTTTCTTTCAGTTAGTTTCTTCTTTAATGGATCGTTCTCTAAAAAAAAAAAAAGAAAATAATAATAATAAAAAAATATTTTATAAAATAATAATAAAAATAATAATAATAAAATATATATATTTAATTATATAATATTAATATAAA